CTCCCATGTCGCCCACGCACGCACGCGCACGCGCTCCCCCTTCTAGTGCCCCAACCGTGTATGGCAATGCGAGCTCAGCGGTTGCCAATGTAAACCCTCTTTTCCCCTCTCCCCTACAACCACGAGCGTCTCTCTCTCTCTCTCTCTCTCTCTCTCTCTCTCTCCCTCTCTCTCTCTCCCTCCCTCTCTCCCTCCCTCTCTCCCTCTCTGTATATGTATCGTAATGTCTCTAGAATTTAAAGAGTGCAACACTAGTAATCTTTCGCGCGGGGAGGCGTAGCGTTGCTGGGCGGCGACACGGGGACTCGACCCCTTCGCCGTTGAGGAAACTGTGACTTGGTCTTGTCCTGCCCGAGGAGTTCGAAGCTGTTTGGCTGCTCGTAGGAGAGAGAGAGAGAGAGAGGAGGGGGGGGGGATGGAGCTGCGTGCAACTGCCTTTAGGAACGGCCGCTCTAAATGATGCGGAATATGACGTTGTACGAGTCATTCGCGTCGGGCGGGGTAGAACGGGCCGAGGGGAGTGGGGAAACGGAACGGGGGTGGCAGAGGAACGGCCAAGGGAGGGCAGAAGGAAACAGTTGATAATTTTGCGATGTCATTATTATCTCGCACTGGATCGCCGGATGGTACATTAACAGCGTAGGGTTGGATACCTTTAACAATATAAATTTTTGGGACTTTGTGAAACAACGTCACTGCATGTTTTGAAATAAGTAAATACTTGAGAGAGTCGTTTTATTTTATTTTCCCGAGAGCCGTGGATCGTTGTTTGTGAAATTTTCGTCCTGGTTTAGACATTATTTGCACAAAAACTGGAAAACATGTGGCGTCACCCCTTTGTGGTAAAAACGCGTCATTAGGACAGTGTGTCCACCCTTTGGGCGGGCTGGAAAAATGAGCGAGTTGGAGTTGGTCGGTGGTTGGCACTGTGCTTGCTGCGGCGCTGCCTCTATAGGCACTGGCAGGCGGGCAGGGCAGAGCGAGGCGGGCGGACAGACAGACAGACGGGCGGAAGACAGCCGGACAGCTTGTGGGTCGGTCGCTCGGCCGGCGCGGAGGACGGGGGAGGGGAGAGGGGAGGAAAGGTTGTGGGGGAACTGTCTGAAAGAGGAGGTCGTGCCGCTCGTCTCTCTCTCTCTCTCTCTCTCTCTCTCTCTCTCTCTCTCTCTCTCTCTCTCCCTCTCCCGTAGCCTGCTGCTACTTGAAGTACTAGAGCTCACATCAAAGCACAGTGTAATCGCTGCAGGAAGCAGCGCGGCGGGCGATAGCTGTCGAAAAGTAGCGGAAATTAAAGTGTTCTCATTCTGGTTATGAAGAAGAGAGCGCAGTTTAACAGTCGTATACTGTACTGCTAAACCCTCTACGGTTTTATTTATGTATAGGGTCTTTCGTCCAAATCCACATCTGGACATCTACGTACAAAAAGAATTAAATTAATTTTGAATAAAGGAAAGAAGTTAGTTACAATCCAGTTCATTTTATAAGTTTCGCCGTAGAAAATATTCTTGATTGCACAAGGACATTTTCTATGAAAAATGACTAGATAAAGGAGTGAAAAATGTGCCAGATTGAGAAGAGATGTTTTCTACAACGCCTGAAAGTGCCCCATTCCCAGTACAATCAATCCCTCTTCCACTGGATAAATACCACTCTAAAGCGGGCGCCGCAGTTGTCGGATTTCGCTGTCAGTTTAGTCGTTTAGTCGTCGCCCCCGCCGGTGCTGTCGTGTCGTCAGGCGTCTCTCTTCTTGAGAGGCTCCCTGAGTCATCCAGCCGCCATGTGTGCTTGCCTATGGGTCTGGGCTGGCCCTGCATGCCGTGCCGGTCGGCCGGCCTGATCGCAGCTTTTATCGCTATCCGGGCTCGTTACCCGGTGCAAGGTGACGGGGCCGCGGGACCATTACGAGTATACAAGCACACTGCAAAGCGGGACGGACGAAAAGAAAAAGAAATCCGTTTAGAGCGCAGGAAGTTTGTTTGGGCAGAGCGCTATATGGGGTTTGTAAAGTCTTTTCGTCTTTCCCCTTGCATTATTATTTTTCTTCCGGACAGGGTACTGTAGTGCCACGTTTACGGCTCGGGTGAGGCGGTGAAGGAGCGCCGACCACCACCGACCCAAACCTGACTCAAACGGAAAGCGCAGCTGTGTGTTAGCTGAAACGTGCAAGAGAGAAGAGAGGGAGAGAAAATTTAGGAGAGTACAGGAAAGAGAGTATGGACACTGAGAAAAATGCAATTCGTATTTGAAGCGGGCGGCAACGCAGCGCCCCCGAATATGTGGAGCGGTTTTTGTAGGGAACCCCAGAGAGTGGGGAAAGCGGCAGCAGTGAGGATGCGGGTGGCGAGAGGGAGGGGGAGGTAGAGAGAGAGAGAGAGAGAGAGAGAGAGAGACGCGTGCGCCACACGTGTGGCGTGTCAGCAAAGCGTTTCCCCCACCCTTCCCCGGGAATAGAATACGGCACGTCGCCGTGTGTGTGTTTGTGCATGATTGTTCTGATGGGCTTCACAGGCCGTCACCTAGAAAGGATAGCTATCCTTTCTAGCCGTCACCACGTCCGGTTTGCAGCCGAAACGGAGTGGCGCGAGTGTATAGTACATATCTAGATACTCGGTACTGCTCTGACGCCCGCCCGCCTCGACAGTTCGTTTCGTTCGTCTGTCGGCCAACGACCAATCCCCCCCCCCC